GGTCTTTTACGCTTGATATGACACCACACCGCAATGTGCGTAATCTCCAAGCAGATTTCGTCAGGGGACCACCCGAGTTTATTACCATTTGCACCATTCTTCGGGGGCATTTTTTTATCAATCATACATAACATTGTTGTGGCAAACCCCTTGTTTAATGGGAACACATTCAAACAAGAGGAAATTTGCTTGGAGATAAGGAAAAATAATAAAGGCTTGTTGGCTGAATAGTTTGCCAGAGGAGTTAGCATCTGGTAGGGCTGCGAAGTAGCGGCAATTTTTTATTAGCCTATTTGACAAATCTATAGTAGTCTCCACTGAGAGTCCTCTTGCCAATTGGACCCTCGATGGCGGGGAAAGTCCTCTGGCCAATTATATCCCCTTTTTAGGGCGATTTCTACGATTTATTCAGCCTGCAAAAGGAGTCTAGTGAGGAATAAATCTATAGCCTGGGTGCCATCCTCGGTAGGCTCCCTGGCTACCACGATGGATGGATGGCACCCAGGCTAACAAAGCTAACCGGGTAACCCCGAGAGTCTTGTAAACAGTCACTCAGGGCCAGTGGATACAATCAGAACACTGGTCAGGAGACAGAACTCAACAAGGAGGGTAAAAAAAAGCATGAATGTTGCTATGGAGGCTACTCAATGGTACCCTTCTTGTCATAGCCATTTCCTCTAGAAAACAATGAATATTCATCGTCTTGTGGTCATTTCAGCAGCGGGAAATGACTTATTCCCTCATCTTTAACACTCTTTTCAAAGCCTCTTGTCTTCCTTATGCTACACGTACCCATAAAAGTTGGCTGGGGAGACGCTTTATTTGTGTATACGTCTGTTTTTCTGCCTTCTGACGTTTGAAAAACTCAGGTTTGCGCTGTAGAACTAGCCTCTACCAGGCTTCTGGAGGTGGCTGGAAAGAGTAGAAATCGGCCAAAAATAGAGAGATAACATGCCCGGGGAGTTGGTCCGCTAGAGAGTACAGCTTGTTTTTTTTTTCGGGTGCGGCAAACTGTACTCTCTAGCGGACCAACTCCTCCGGCATGTTATCTTTCTATTTGGCCGATTTCTACTCTTTCCAGCCGCCTCCCGAAGTCTGGTAGAGGGTACTACTGTATTTAAAGTACTTCGTGTTCACACACATGGCTCGTCCTTGGCATCACGGAATCTGAGAGATTATCAGACGATAAAACTCAGTGACTGACTATAAACAATGTTGACTTAAAGGCATCCAAAGCGATTTCAGGGCAGCAAAACTGGAAATTTTCGGAATAAGGCAATCTTTGTGATATTGGCACATACTGCTTCACATGAGCACATTTCAATCAGTATTTTATACTTTGGGTACTAGTATTTAAAACTGCAGAAACAAGCCCCAAGATGAGTCCTTTATTTTATGGGTGGCACCCTAAATATCATCCCTTCCAGTAACCTTTTTACGTCATAATTTTGGGAATGTTTGCTCCATGAGGGTCAAGATGCATATTCGGATAGTATTATTTCAAAATTGACTTTGAAAAATCGGGTTTCCAAGTCCTAAAAACTGGATTGGATGCCTTTAACATTTCACGTTCTCTTGCGGAAATGTAAGTGTGCTGACGAGATTAGTATATATAGCCTAACAGCGTTTTTTAATAGGGAAAGGAAGAAACACTTGCCAAACCGGGGAGCGATGTTGGAAATTCCCCGAGAAGAAAGGCTACATGGACCGGGGAATGCTGTCAAAAATATTTACCGCGGAAAGCACGCTTTTCCTGTTTTCTTTCCTGGTTCTGTGAACCGGATTGGTCACGATAGAATGGAACTGTTTGCAACAGTTGTTTGAGCCAATTTGTTTTGGCACTAGCGAGTGATCCAAATAGATCTCTCTCCTTTCAAATGTTTCACTTGCGTTCTTTGGTGCCGCATTACAATGACATGATTTGACAGTATGATCGAGCGATATGCATGCAGAAATTTATTGAAAGAAAGAAAGGCCTCAAGTTATGGTACATTTTTTTCTCATTGCGAACTAAGTACAGGTCACGGCAAATAGCGATGGTAGACAAAATATATCTATAGTAAAACTACATATGTACAGGTTCTGCTTCTTCTCGCTTCTTAACACAGTTGTAAATGTAAGAACAGATGATGGAGTTTATAGTACGAGGTTTATCGAGATTCATGAGGAATGTGAGTTTTTCTTTTCTATCTTTAGAAAATTCGAAACTAGGGAAATAATCTATATATATATAATAAATAAAGACTGAACTGTAACTTCTAACACTAGATATAGAATTGGGACTTACCCCAAATTTTCGGTTGACTCCATCAACCTTGCAATTGTTCACGTTCCAAGAGTAGACGGGTCCATTCCGTGAACAAGGTTGATGGAGTCAACCACAAATTTGGGGTAAGTCCCAATTCTACATCTAGTGTTGGAAGTTAAAGTTCAGTCTTTATTTCATAATGATTTGTACCGACACAGATGAACTTTCATGCTAAATCTTGTATACAATTGAAGAGAATCTTTCTCTCATTATTCACCATATAGAGTACAGTCCACAATAGAATGACTCTCGTCTTCAACCTCATTTAGATTGAACGGTAACGGCTGTGTTTAGGCACGGATTTTTTCTACCTCCATGGTTTAGAGTGACGCAACAGAGCAAATTCTATGATGTCAAAGGCTTTATCTCGGCACACAGGTGATATGATCTATGCAGTTGAAAAAAACAAGAAGATTTTTAATCCACGCCCCCGCCTCCCACACGTTTACGTACAGCTCATGAAGCTAGTCTCAACCAGTTTCTACCAGTCTGTAGCCAGTCTCAACCAGTCTTTGCCTATTTGGGCAACTTGGCTATTTTTCCAGAAATCCACAGAGTCAAGTAGATCAGTGCCTAGTCTAAACCAGTTTCTACCAGTCTCAACCGGTTTCTGCCATCACATCTATTTGGGGAACTTCTACTATTTTTCCAGCAACCCACGAAATCAGGTAGATCAGTTTTAAGCAACAACCGAGACTTTCAAAGATCTAAGATCAAAGAGCTCAAGGCACATACATGTACACAAGCTTTAGACTGAGACTAAGTGGGAAAGTAACAGTGAGTGATCTTCCATACACAGCTCTTAGGATGTTTTTTTTTCCTCATTTCAATTTAGAACAAAATCTGAAGCTATTTCTGTTTGCGGGATTAGGCAATGTTCCTGGCCACGTATCATTAGAAAGCTGCTATGTAGGATAATCTTTTAGTTTAACCCATCGAGATTACGTCTTACGTCGACAGTAAATTATAGCATGGATATCGATATAACCGCCTTGCCAATTGGTAATAGCGATTGTAACAACAAACGCGTTTCAAACAAAACACAGATTACGAGTTTGACCAAAATAGAACTGATGTGTGTATGTCAAACAAAGGGCTCGTAGAAAACGTTAGTTTTACCCCTTATCACAGTCGCAAACAAAAAACACAAACTGTAGTCAACCCAATGATGAAATAGAGAAGCTATAGCCTCCACCAGGCTTCCCGAGCGGCAAACTGTTCTCTTCAGCAGACCAACAATCTCGGCATGCTATCTCTCTATTTGGCCGATTTCTACTCTTTCCTGCCGCCTCCCCAAGTCTGGTAGAGGCTGAAATAGAGGACCAATTGCCTATTTCGCAGACAGATCAAGAGGAGTTGGCCATCCATAGAATTACTTAAAAGGAAAATGTGCACTCCAGGCCAAGCCCTTTGATATTTCCTATGTATTTGGCCGATTTCTACAATTTTGGTTCAGTCCGCCAAGACATGTCTTTTATAAAAGCGATCGAAGAAAGGGAATCTATGTTCTAATAATAATAATTCCCTTTGTTGTGTGAGAAATATATATATATATGTAATTTAATCCCTTAAGACGTGCATGACACAAAATTGGTCTGGAGAAAATATGTTTATTGAAAGAAACACCACCTCCTTACATAAAGCACTACATCTGATTTTTCTCTGTATCTTTTTTTCTGATTCATATAAGCAAAGGCTTGAGTCTAACACCACGCAACGACACATGTGATACTACTACACGACATTGCTAAACAATCATGATCACTAATTTCAAACGTTCCCTGGTTAAAATATATTCTCCGGCCCCCCAATATATATCCAGGTACAGGCCAGTACTATTTACATATCTGTATATGCATAGCCGAATTTTTAAGTAGGGTTTGTAATAAAAGATACCTAGAAACGATCTAAAATACACGAGGTCATTTCCTCTCATACAACGGTTTTGGAGCCACTAAGGTAACACATTTCTCTGAAAATATTCATAAACCCTTATACATCAAAATACAACTCCGTTTTCTTTTTCAAAAACCTTACACTAAATTGTATGTATTTCCAGTGTATATATGAAGTACTTGCTTGTTGGTTGGTTGGTACATCTAGTTCTGGACATTCTGATACATTTTGTAAAAGAAACATTTTGGATGGATACAAGAGGTAGTATCTGTTGATAGGACGAGTTTTTGCGAATTTATCAACCACGTTCGACAGGCTAGAGTTAGGTTAGACCACATAACCGAAATTATGCACTATTACATTCATAAAGGTGATTGACAAATGCATTCCGTATATGTTTGTTTACAATTGTTTGTGTATTATTGTTGTTTACCTTTTTTTGACACAGGACTTTCATTAGATGGTACATCTGGAGACATATTACAATATCATGTCTTATCATCTATAATTTCAAATGCGAAACACCTTTAACATTTCTGTATCTGTATCAGTATAGCCGGTATAACCGCCATTCGGCGTAACACACCAGCTTAAGCTTTTCTTATACCAAAATATTGCTTCCCAAAAATATCTACATACATGCGTGTACATGCCATATTCGCACAAGAGTCAAAGTCATCTGATTCCAATTGGGGGGTTTAAACGTACAATAGTTGGATTTGGTATTTGAGAGCCAATCAGAATGAAAATACAACACTGTTCCTGTCCAATACCGAAGAATTTCACCGAACAATTGTGAAACTCTTGCAGTTTCGACCGACTACTACTGCAACTGAAAGATGCCGACACCATCCTATACGCACATGTTTAGACCTGCGATTTCATCAATAAATTGTATCCAAAGTCCGCTCTAAGAATGCTTACAGTTCGAAAACATGTTTGCATACGCCCTCTGTTTCCAATGTCACTTCTTGCTAACTCCCAGATACATAGATACTACAGAAAAGGATATAGCTTCACGCTTTTTTGTGTCCCTTGAGAAAGATTAGTCGATAAGAGTGGTATTGCAAGTTCTTGGTGTCAGTTTCTTGACGGAAAGATCGAGAATATGGAGGTAGCCCGTACCAAACACCACAAGTCACACGCCAGGTTTAGTAGCATTTTTGGCAAACCGCCAAACGCGAGAGGTTTGCTGGGGTCACCTCACAGGGCGTCTTCGTGTACAGAAACCTTGAGAAGGCGTGTGTCTTGTGATACTGTGAGTCATTCCCGGTCACTACACGCCTCGGGGGGCTATGTGCTAACCGACAAGAAGAAACTGAACTGCCCAGCTTCGCTTAACCTTGAGATATTTTAAACTCATAACCAACAGTCAAGTCAGAAGTAGTTCCAGCCTACACCCTGAAAGGGGCCCACCAAAGAACAGAACAATACGCCGCACGAAAATAACTTTCGTAACACCAACGTTTTTTTTTTCTTGTCGTCCATTCAAAATCTTGCAATCAAATTTTGCAGAGCCATAGTTTTAACTTAGTCTGGAGCTATATATGATTTATATCTATTAAGACAGAAACGGGCTTCTTCAGGAAAGTACCTTTAAGGTGTGTAAACATCACCTACACATACAGTGGGACAGGTATGACTCAGATTGGCTATTGTTCTTTACCCACAGACCGCGGGCCTGTCTTCGTGACAAGCCTATCGTCTTTTTTAGTCACCACAAGCGCAAACAATACTTCCGCGGCCCTAGCGCCTCGAGTTTATACAATCAGGTGGACTAAAAATATCTCAGGTGAATCACTTTTAAGTGTTTGAACTACTAGTCAAAGTCTCGCGGTCGTGACACATTATGTTCAGTCCTGAAGCTAGGCATTCTTTTTTTGAGCTGTTAGGTAATCCTGTTGCAAGCCTGTGTGCAGATAATCTTCTGAACATTTTTAAGAGATAAAACTTGTGGTAACATAAGGTAGCGCTGTGGCTTCTAATATAGAACGTTCAGACTTCTAGTATACTAGTATAAACAGTCAACTATTAAAGTTCCAAGTTGTGTGTACATGTAAGATGAAGTTTAGTCCGTTCTTGGCTTGAAGAATCCTTGAGGTGTGCTGCACTCTCGCACGGTGACAGTCAGGAAGTTGGCCGTAACATCGGTAATGAAAACCTGTCCTCCGATCACGGTGGGCCGCCAGCGCTTTTTAGGCGGCCAGGCGAGTGTCTGTGGGCGCGCGGCCAACGTGCCTGGGCCGGGCGGTGTTGTCGTCGCCACGGAGTTCGCGGTGGCAGATTCGTTCTCCTGGTCGGAGGAAGCCGACTCCTTGCGGCCAAACGGCGGAGATATTCCAGCTTTGTTCGGGGAAACCGCAGAGCTGCTTACGGGCTTTTGTTGGTTGGCGATGTTTTTCAGCATGGTGGTCTGGTTATGAGGGGGCGGAGTCGTGGGTGACGCGACTGCTTTTCCCCTTTCCCCGGCCATCTGTTCCCCCGGCGAGCACGAGGTGTTCCCTCTGACAAAACCCCAAGCCTCACTCCGCTTCCCCGAACCGCTGCCTACACCTGAAGGTGAAATAGTCTGGCTGGCATGCCCCGCACCGCGACCCCACATCCTGTGAGAGGGGCCCGCGATGATACCAGGGGTTGCGCCGTGGGCTTCCCCGGGGCCTCTCCCCGCTACTAGCCCGGAACCTTCCCCTGTTATACCAGCTTGGCCGGCCGGTTTTCTCTTCAGCACGTCTCCGCTGCCCTCGGTGGACCCGTCCCCGCTCTCTGGGGAGTGGCACGGCACGTAGTCGTCGTCGTCTTCAGAAAATGACACGTTTGTCGTGTGTGAGGTCGAGTCGGATCCAACATGGCTGCTGCCCGGGTCCGAGACTGGAGACCCGCCGGTCCTCTCTAGTTCGACATTCCCTTCTGCAGCCACTCTGAGCGGTTCCTGTGGTTGAAAAACAAAAATAAATCTCTATCCTACATGGCTGTATAAACTTCTGCAATAGACATGCAAGATCTGTCGAAAAAATGGAAATATTGCAGAGAAGTCGGGCATGTTCTAGAACCCGTCTCAGAAAGTTTACACAACTAAAGAAGTTTCCCGAATATTCTGTACCTCAATCCGAAGCCGTTTCGGCTTGGGTCCGCGCTTGAGACCTCCCCCATCCTTCTGTCTGCGCCTGAAAAGTGCAAAACAGCGAGTGTAAACAACAGGAAGCGAGATCTGAAGGAAACACGGAACTAGTCCTGGACCGAGCGAAAGCGTGCGCCATATTGTTTCAGACGACAGAATCGCCACACACACTCACCTATTTTCGAACGCCAGCAGTAGCCGCGGGTCAAGTATGTTGTCCACCGGTTCCCACGTACTGTACCTGTTTCAAAAATAGGGCAATCATTACAAAAGATATTACAGTTCTAAATCTAAAGAACAGATCATCGAGGAAATTTCCGAGGTTGTGAGAAAATACGGAAGAAGTTACTCACTTTTGCGACCAGCCCTTCCATTTGACGAGGTACTCCGCCTTCCCCTGTGGGGATAAGAGTAAACAGTGCTTGAACACACGGCCGTTGCATAACGTACTGAAATTCACACCAGCCGACATTTCAAAAGAAACTTTCTTCGCGACCTAGTCTTACGAAAATCATACATGTATGACACAATTTTGCCTTTTCAGAAAATACATTTGCAAGTTACGAGTAATTTAAATATGGTGGCACGCGCAAGGCGCTTCAGATTCACACCAGGCATGTATCGCGTTATACAAAATGTACACATAATCTTCACATGCTCACACACGATACGTGGGCAAGTTCCTACAAATTTCCAAGCTGTTGCGTCAAGTTTTTTGACGTGACATGCGACGTTTCGGTACTCACCCTTCGCCAGCGCTTCTTCTGCAGGCACTCGGCGGCGAAGACCCGCTCGCCGAACGCGGAGAGTTCCATCATCTTGTCCGCCAGCGTGTCAGCGTGTGTGTGTACAGTCAAACCGACTCTTGTTTCCAACGGCCAAAACAACACTGCGTCCGCCTGCCAGGGACTCCCGTCGCCAAATGGGCCAACGGCAGCCCATAATAGTCGCCTGACGTCACGCGACCTGATTACCATGCGTGGTTGCCATGGGGAGGTCGGTGGGTCATGTGGGGGACAGATCATTACGCTTTGGGGGAAGGCTGAATTCAGCGCGGGGGTGGATGTGTGGGGGCGAAACTTTAACGCTAGTGATGGAAATTACGTTTTATATTATCTCTCTTACGTAAAAACTACTGATACACGTTTGAAAGAGGCAAATTTCCCCCTTTTTACCCCCACGCGTGGTGATTAAGAATCGTCCCCCACTCAAGTTAAAACGTTTCACGGCTCATAAATTATTTGCAGCTCTAGCTTGGGTCCCAAATTTGCGCAACCCCGAGAGACGGTTGTAAACAGCGCTACCCTAGTGATGTTATTTGTTACACGTTGGCCACGCGACGCCTATCGTGGTTACCTCTTCCACAGAATCGCACGCAAAACTAATTATAAAAGCCGAGCAAAAGCCGCGATGTTTACGTGATGTTTACAGGGCGCACCACGGAAACTTGAAGATTCCCACAGTTACTTTACTTTGCGAGGTACTGTGTCTTCAAGCAGAGGTTGGTGGGGAAGATTGTAATTTTTCTACCAACTGGTCGGAGTAGAGACAGAAAAAAAAACGGGGTATATGATAAAAAAAATCACAATCTTCCCACCAACCTCTGCTTGGAGAGTACTTGTGAGCGACATTTGAACACGTTTTGGGTACCGGTACGCGATTTAATGGTAAATGCATAGCGATAGAATATGGACGACACCTTGCTCACACACAGCAAGAAGCTTTCTTTTTGGCTCATAGAATATCCTTTAACACAGTCCCTTTAACAAAAACCGCTGAAATTTAAATGACATTTTAAAAGGCAATGAATATGTCAGCTCACACATAGGTAACGTTACTAGTAGTTTGGGCGGGCTTCTGTCTTTTATTTTTAGGCTGACTACTTGCAACGTTCCAGCACCAGGGTACACTTCAGTTCAAATGGATACGATCTTGCCTAGAAGAACTGCGTACATGTAGCTCATAGGGCGTGGTCCCACTGAGTTCAGTGATCGATACAAAATTCTACCGCAAATTTCTTCAAGCCGTGAAAAGCGCAATATCATTAGAGAACTCGTACTGCGAGTGATCAGTCTTTCCTCATAAACAAACTACTATTGCCAAGCACCTCCTTGGTATTACCATGGAGGTAAAAAAGAGTATTACATAAAGAGGTTTTTAAAAAGCAGTTGCGTAACCAAGGAGGTTTAAAAATTGTGGCGTAACACGACTAGGAAAGGTCGAATGGATCAAGGACATAATGCAGAAACTACAACTCAAATGTGTTTTATCAGGAACGTTAACACAGCCATGCTTCAATTAATAGCGAGGTAACACCAAGGCCGGTTAACCTAGCCTCTACCAGGCTTCAGGAGGCGGCTGGAAAGAGTAGAAATCGGGCACAAACTCCCCTGGCATGTTATCTCTCTATTTGCCCGCGATTTCTAGTCTTTCCAGCCGCCTCCCGAAGCCTGGTAGAGGCTAGGTTAATTGTCACGTTAGCACGGCGCCACGCATGGTATAATGACGTACGAGATCTTGTGAACATCATGCACCTATTACATACATGCTTACGACACGCAAATATCATCAGTATCATTATTGATAATACAAGGACAATACAGCGTCATTATTGCATACACTTTACGAATGGGGCCATTGATCAATGAAAGTACGGTAGGCAGGGGAAAAAAAAGAAAAGTATCAAACTGGCTTGGATTGAAACCGTATTTCTTTCGTATTTTCATTAGCCACTTCGACAGCCTTGCCATCGTATGATCTGCTTGGAGATTATCATTTCATTTCATTTATTTATCATAAGTGCGTTTCGTCGACTCTTTGGTCTAGTTATATAATACTAAAAATTTGAACGGTAAGTCTCTATCCATTTACCATGCTCTCTGGCCACCCATGTTTCTCCAAAACGGAGCGAATTCTTCCTCAACTCAACTACGAGTATTGAAATGAAATACAAGCTGAAAACCTATGGATCTGGAGTGAAGTTGTATTCAGCTTACCCACAAGATCTAATTTATTCTCAGTAGACTTCGTATCTTTTAACCTGCATTTTCGACTACTCGTGTTTTTTCTTCAGTCTGTTCGCGTTGACTTGCGAAATAAACTTTCACCGTGTTTCTCCCACCTGGTTTTTGTCCGACCAAGGACATTATACATATATATATCTGTGTATAATGTCCTTGGTCCGACCCTCCTTTTTTTCTGCACTGCATATAAATACTGCATTAAGGTTTACGATCAATTCTACAGTGATTAGACTATAGTATTCCATGGACATTTGTACATACTATAGTGTATTGTCCTTGGAACAGCCAACTGACACGTGCGTACGTAGATTCTGAATCAGTAAGGTGGAAAAACGAAACTACAACCCCGTAAAATATCTGTCAACACTCCGTGGACATTTTTCGCCTTATTCGCACTGTCTTGTCAAACGGTTTGCGGAAATTTACAAAGGAAAGCTGACCGGTTACTCTCCAAGCAGAGGTTTGGGTTTTGGGTCATTTTTGGCGTGTTTTGGGGGCTTTTTTATCGGGGTTTCTTTTTTGCACTGGAATCGTTGGGTTGGCGTAAAAAAAAGATTCCAGTGAAAAAAAAAGAAACCCCGATTTAAAAAAAGCCTTAAAACACGCCAAAAATACGCCAAAACCCAAACTTCTGCTTGGGTTGGCGTAAAAAAAAAAGATTCCAGTGTCAAAGTAGACCCCGATTAAAAAAGCCTAAAAACACGCCAAAAATACGAATAAACCCAAACCTCTGCTTGGAGAGTACCGTAAACCGGACCAAACTTGCACGAACAAGCGTGAACACGTTTCAGCGCACGTCGGCACTTAGCAGTCCAGTCACGTACGTACCGTGTTTAGCGTGGTAACGCCACGCCGGGCGGGGGTGAGTGAGTCACCGCGTACATACACCACCCCACGCGGTCGATAAACACCCTCCTTCGAGTGCAGTACGCCGGGTCATTGACCCCAACAACGGGAGAGATTCCACAGCACACCATTTAGCCGCAAAATCTAGGTCAGGTCCCGCCTTGTTTACATCAAGGGCCCGGGAAATATTCAATATATAAGCGTGCACATGAACTACGCCTTGCTGTACAGTGTACACACTAGTCTCTACCAGACTAACTACGCTGGCTATATATAGGAGAAATTGCCAGGGGAGTTTGGCCGCCTTGTAGGTTTGAGGGGCCTCCTTCGGAGGGAAAGAAACTACCTCCCCGCGGCCGGACTGTCTTCCTTGCCGAATTCTACGATCCGTATTCCCGTAGAAAGGCCTGGTGGAGGCTAGCCACACACTGACACAGTCACTTAAAATTCCATACCTTATAACGATAACGGAATATAACGTACGTTTCGTCCTACATTTACAATAGAATTTAGGTCAGTTTTGGCCACCGGAAAATGGCACAATACTAGATCCTACCAAGATCAAGATTGACCACCATGTGAACGTGTCAGGACATATCATCTCACCAATCATATGACTGTAGATCAAATATATCACCTATCTTATGTTTGTAGTACAGTATATGATAGGCCAACATACGCAATGAAGGAGAATTTTCTGGTTCAAACTTGCAATTGTTATACTGAGGTGACTTCTACTGTCCCGGTAATTGTTTTTACCCTGTCAATAATAGATCCATATCATGACACTATTCATATGACTGTATATCAAATGTATCACATATCTTATGTTTGTAGTATTTGATATGCCAACATACGCAATGAACGAGAATTTTCTGGTTCAAACTTGTAATTATTATACTAGGTGCCTTCTACTGTCCCGGTAATTGTTTTTACCCTGTCAGTAATGGATCTATGATGTCGCCACGGACAGCACGGTCGATAACGTGAGTAAAACGATCCATGTGAGGGATTTGTTCACAAACGTCAGTAACGAAATACTATCAAAACATGTTTGCACTGTTAGCAACCATATGGCTGGGTGGAATGGCATGCAGACCGGAGCTGTACAAGTACTGGATATTAAATAAATAAAAAAACACAAAGAAGTGGGTGAATTTGTCTTCCATTTCCATGTGTGTTGTAGAATATAGTATAATGCTAGACGCAGATATAGTATCACATAGCACTGCATTTTCTTTCTTATACTGTTTGTAACTGCAATTAGCCCTCGGGCATGTATTTGCAAGAAACTTTCTTTGTTATTTAAGCATCCAATGCAGTTTTTAGGGCTTGGAAACCCGATTTTTCAAAACCAATATTCAAGACATTTATCTACATACTGAGTTGAAATAACACTATCCCAATGTATATTTGACCCTCATGGAGCAAAAAATCCCAAAATTCTGACGAAAAATGGTTACAGATTATTTCAAACAGTTACCACAATTTCTCCATTCTTTCATCACCTAAAAGATCACCAAAAGACTGTGTTTCTACTAAGATCACAAAACCCACTCATTATGCAGAACGTTGGACTATTCATTATCCACTGCCTTAAAAGAAGAAGTCAAACCTCATAATAGCAAGCGTAGTAGTAGAAGTTAAAGTATTTTCCATACAGTATTTGTCTGTTCCCTATTTATAGTGTATAGTATCTTTGACTCTAAAAGCAATTAGCCCTCGGGCATGATTTTGCAAATAAAGACATATATTTATTATCTAGAGACTAGAGTGTGAGCTATATCAGAAGGGCACAAGAGATGGGCCCACTTGAGACCCACCCACACTAAAATTAAAAATCATTTCATTTTACGCACTTCCGCTGTTGACGCAAACCGCACTGGAAATCTCAAGAGTTTGCATGGGGCTTATGACGTGATCGCAAGGTGAAGAAACCCTTAACATCACCTCCTTATAAGTGTAGATACACCTGTACGGTGGAGTGACGCCCACCGAGCCTCTTAGGCTAATCTGGCTAACTGTGCGCCAATGTGACAACCATCAGCACATTTGCCA